GGAGTTCAGAAAAGAAAGCTAAGAGAAAAAGTGAAATTGGAGTTTGAGAAAGGAGGAAGTAGTAAGAAGAGCAGCGTGAGAACTGAGAAAGGAGGAGAGAAAAAGGGGGAGGAAGTAAGAAGGAGAGAGAAAAGAAAGAGGAGCGACGTGACGAGAAAAAAGGGTTTAGGTGAGTTGGGCACTTGGGCTCCCTATTTTATACTCGAATTTTTTTAAATAAAAATCTAGTATGCGACTGCTTTAAACGGTCGTAATAAATTATTTTTCTTTTACAACTATTTTACCTATGTATTTTTTTTTTAAAAAAATTGTTCAAATACTCTTACGACCGCTTAAAAAATGGTCGCAATATTGCAACCGTTTGAAAAACAGTCGCAAATTGCAACAAAATTGCAACTTTTGCGACTGTTTTTATGGTGGTCGTAGATAAATGGTCGCAATTGGGCCGAATTTTAGTAGTGATACCAACTCTGATTAAAACGTTCACTCAGCAAATTAACCCAATTTTGAGACTCAAGCAAATCAAGAAATTGACACAAAGTGATCGGCCAATTTCTCTTGCCTTTTTATTGCCGCAGGCTTGTCTCTGTAGTTGACACCTAGTTCCGGAGCACTCTCTTCTTCGTCTTGCATGTCATCAGACTTCCTTTTGCAAGAAGAGTGAGATTCGGTGGTCGATTCGACTTTTGGTGGCTCCAAGACTTCGTTGACAGTGGTTTCCGGTAGGTTTTCCAAGGTGATGTCTGGAAGAGGGTTTGTGTTTGCTTCGGTTTCAACTTGGGTTTTTGGAGAGGTAGACATTGGAGAGTAATTTTGATCTGAGTGAGGAGAGACAAGGTAATTTTTGAGTGGTGTAAAATTAGGTGAGGCTGACATCCTTTTTATGGTGGAGGTAATTTGGTGAATTGAATTTGTGAGATGTTGTTGGAGGGTGAAGTGAATTAAGTTGATTTGACACCCATATTTATTGCTTAGGGAAACGCAAACCGTGTTTAGTATGTGGGAAAATTTTTGAATAATGATAGAGATGAATATTAGATGTATTCATCAGAATCTTGTGTTTAGCTAAAAAAAATTTGGAATTTTAAAAGTCAGATAAACACAAGAATTTTTATCTTTTGAATATTCAATAAAGCACAGTTGCAAATACAACTTGATGAACGAAACAATTCAACAAGCTAAGGCTCATGCAACCAATTTTGGACTTTCATATTCTATGCCTTTCAAATTTACATGCCTTTAACAAATGTTACTCCTGCTCACAACCTGTCTTAACTATGTAATTAAACATATAACTTTTGTGCACAGTATACAATGATTTAGCACGTCATTTTGAGTTTCATACCTGAGGGAACTTGATGCATTTTTCTTGGTTTAACTTATTCATCCCAAGTTCCATTCTCATCTTCTCATGCCTTTCTCTATTCAAGGGTTTTGTTAAAATATCTGCAATTTGATTTTTAGTTTGGCAGAAATCTAATTTAATCAAACCCTTTTCAACATTATCCTTAAGGAAATGATGTCTTATATGAATAATATTGACTCTTAAATGATGGAATGGATCTTTAGATATGCAAATTGCACTAGTGTTATCACAATAGATAGTAATGCAATTAAATTTAATACCAAAGTCATGCAACTGTTGTTTGATCCAAAGGACTTGAGAGCAACAAGCAACTGCTGCTACATACTCAGCCTCTGCAGTAGACAATGAAATAGTATTTTGTTTCTTGGAACCCCAAGAAACTAGACAAAATCCAAGGAACTGAACCATACCTAAGGTGCTTTTCCTGTTGACTAAGTCACCAGCATAGTCAGCATTCGTAAACCCTCTAAGAATAAATTCATTACTTCTAGGATAGAACAGACACAGGTCACCTGTTCCTTTGAGGTATCTCAAAATTCTCTTAACAACCGTTAGATGTGATTCTTTAGGATTAGACTGAAATCTAGCACACAATCCAAAACTAAAAGAAATGTCAGGCCTACTAGCTATTAGATATAGCAATGAACCAATCATACCTCTGTAAGTGGTTTGATCCACACTTGTTCCTTGTGGATCCTCATCAAATCTTGTTGTTGTTCCCATAGGTGTGTGATTTGTCTTGGCATTCTCCATGTTTTACTTCTTCAGAAGTTCCTTGACATACTTCTGTTGGTGAATCATGATTCCTTCTGCAGTTTGCTTTATTTGTAGTCCAAGGAAGAAATTCAATTCACCCATCATGCTCATTTCAAACTCACCACCCATTAGCTAAACAAAACACTTGCATAAAACATTTTTAGTAGCACCAAATATAATATCATCTGATCTACATAGATATGTACAACTAACAAATCAGTTCCTCGAGATTTAAGAAAAAGAGTTTTATCTACTTTTCCTCTTTTGAAATCATTTTTCAGTAGGAACTTTGAAAGCCTTTCATACCAGGATCTTGGAGCTTGTTTAAGCCCATAGAGAGCTTTATCAAGCTTAAAAACATGATTTGGAAATTTAGAATTTTCGAAACCTAGAGGTTGTTCAACAAACACCTCCTCATTTAAGAAACCATTAAGAAAAGCACATTTCACATCCATTTGATAGAGTTTGAAACCCATAAAAGAAGCAAAAGAAATTAGGATTCTAATAGATTCTAATCTAGCTACATGAGCAAAGGTTTCATCGAAATCAATACCTTCTTGTTGGTAGTAGCCCTTCACAACCAATCTAGCCTTGTTCCTTACTATAGTTCCATGTTCATCAAGCTTATTCCTAAACACCCATTTGAGCCCAATAACTTTCTTACCCTTAGGCTTTGGCTCAAGGTGCCAGACTTTGTTCCTCTCAAACTCATTGAGTTCCTCTTGCATGGCTACTATCTAGTCAACATCTCCCAAGGCTTCTTGATGATTTCTTGGCTCTAGGATGGACAGAAATGTATGAAACGCATAGAAGTTCCTCATTTGCGATCTTGTTTGAGTTCCTTTTCCTATGTCACTGATAATGAGATCAGTTGGATGGGAACCTTGATACTTGAACGACCTAGGTTGAAATTCCCTTACCGGAACTCAAATTTGAGGAGCTTCTTGTTCTGTTCCTTCTGCTTCTTCTTCTTCTACTAGTTCCTCATTAACCTGTTTATCTGGTTGAGGAACTTCTTCATTCTCTTGATAATCCTCTTCTAGAGCAGGCTGCTTTTATTTGGTTTGCTTCTAAGTCTCTTCTTAATCCATGTCTCTTATCAATCCAATTTCAAAATCATTATCATCTTCTTGTTCCTGCACACTCACAAACTGGTTAACTTCATCAAAGATTATGTGAATGTTTTCCTCAACACACAATGAACTTTTATTGTAGACTCTATAAGCTTTGCTATCAGAGTCATATCTAAGAAATATGGCCACAATTATTATGTTTCTTGGATATGCCTCTGATAGCAAACATAATAATTGTAGAACTTTTATTTGAAAACATAATAACAAAACTATTATTTGAAAACTACAACCTAGTGTATTGTAAAACTATTATTTGAAAACATACAATAAAAACTTTTATTGTAGAACTACAACCTAGCGTATCTCGTTCCTCAACAAAAGCAAGAATATCGGTCTAAGAATCCAATGTTCATTGATCACACAGAGCATATTGAGGTAGATTGTCACTTTGTTCGTGATAAGTTGTTGAAAGGTAATATTTCTACTTCCTATGTTTCGACGAATTATCAATTAGCAGAAATTCTTACGAAGGCACTTGGTCCACGAAAGTTTGGTTTCTGTTATGCAAGTTGGGCATTCGTGCAGTGATTTGCATGCTCCAACTTGACAGGAAGTATTAGAAGTCACTTGGTTTTATGTTAATCTGTATAATTTGCATGTAGATCTTTTAGGAATTTTAGGCAAGTTGAGTCTTCTTTGTATTGTATTATATATAATGTCGTGATTATTAATACAAGGCAGAAAGCCATTTCTCCAATAATTCTTGATTTTATCAATTATTTAATTATTTTACTATTATGTTGGTCACGTGGGAGTTAACTGAACGTTATCTAATTCAAGATTTTGTCCTCCATTGAAATGTCTAATTAAAGATTTCGTCCCCCATTGAAGATGCCCAAGCTTTCGTCCACCATTAAAGATGCTCAAGCATGTCCACCGCCACCACTTTCTAACGGCTCCACCGTCGAAATTAACGAAAACCCTAAGGATAAAGGGTGAAACAAAGGGCATGGTTAACCCCAAAGGATAGAAATTTTTCATCACCTTTGATTTGTCCATTGCAGCAGCCAATTTCTCCATTTATGGTTTCAATTTTGAGTGAAGAAGAAGTGGAAACGGAGATACAGGCTAACGGAGTTAACGATGATACTTAGTATCTAGTGAGGTAGTACTGTTCTTGGTAGTGAATTTACTCCACAAGCCTTGCTAAACAGATAAAAAAAACCACTGTACCCCTATATTAACAAAAATTGTTAATATGGCATAGGTATTTTCTCTAGTCTAAGGTCCTGTTCTATTGAGTTTCTAAGTAGAGCAACGCAGGAGTTAGCAGAGTAGAACAGTGAAGAGCAGAGAATAACAGACCAAAGCAGAATAGCTCAAAAGAACAGGCCAGGGCTTCACACCAGTAACGACTTTACCACTTAAATTGCAAATGAGGTTTTAGTGATTTTAACTTTTCAGTGATTTTTGTGTGTAGATGGTCACACTATGTAACCGAGGTTACTTATTCAGAGGTTACTTGGGTTATTCAATCGGTCAACGGTTAATTATTTTGGGATTACTTTGTCAATTAGCATATTTTTTGTGTGAGAGTAACGTCTCACCGACCGAGTAACTCTTGAATAAGTAACCTCTAACTGATTTACCCTTGATCGACCGAGTAACTTCTAAATAAGTAACCTTGGCCAGCCACATATAAAGAACATCTGACAATTTTACCTACTAACAAATTTCGGTATTAAGGAAATAAAGTGGTCTCCCTGGCTCCCTCTAAATTCATTACCAAATACAAGTATAAAGCAAGGTCATTCAAAGTTAGCTAATAACCCAAAATTTGTGTTTATAATTTATTTTTGGATTTTTTTTAAGAACTACCTAATAAAACTCATATTCTGAGATAAACTACTAATAAAAATTATATTTTGAGAAATTACTAATAAAAGGTAAAATGTTATTTAAGAAAAAGGTAAAATATTGTAAAAAACTTATACAAGTAATATGCATCACCGACTTGTAAAAAATTACAAACAATTAAATTAAAAATTCAAGTGAAAACAAATAAAAACAACATTTTCTATAGAAAAGCCAACAACGAAAATAACTTGAAAGGTCTTATTGGCATACATAACCTGATCGACCTATTACATAAACCAACGCAACTGTAAGCTTAAATAAATTAAACATTGACAGGATCAATGAGAACCAATTGAACTTTTTCTTGCATATTTTTGCTTACAATCGAGTAATCATCCTCACCAAGCCGGTAGAAAACCTCAATGACTCTTGAAAGGTCGAGGATTCGATTCATTAATGGCCTTGGAAGTGTTGTTGGCCTAAGCATCTCTTCATTTAGGTCCTTCCATGCATCCTCCACTACATTATGAAGCTCTTCCAAGGCGATTTCCTCTGTGACTCTAAATTGCTTCATGTAACATTCTACAACGGATGCTACATGATCTCTTTTTCGCTCAATCTGTTGATGTAAACCCCCAAAAGAATATAAGTTAGCTCAACAAGGACATATAATTATTGTTTTTATTTTTTATCGAAGTAAAGTAAACAAATTAAAGTTAGGACAGTCTTCTCTCAGAACTGTGGTATAATTGTTGGATTAAAGCAACAAAGTGTACGTACTCATAGCCTTATTACCTTATAACTAGCCATGTCACCTATGAGCCTTCCAATCATACATGAAGCCTTGACAGGTTTCGGGGTTTGGCTTACCCATTCGAAGGCTGCTTTCGTTGCCAAATCTCCCATCCCTAAGAAAGTTGTCCCAGACATCAGGGTGTAGCCAGCCGTTCTAATGGCAGCATCATTGAGATATTCGTCGTATGTTGGAACATATTTTTCGTGGCACCACTTTGCCTCTTGAAAGTACCCTTGACATTGAGCTTTCATCTATAAAATAGTAATATGAACGAGAAATTACAAGTTTATCCTCGTGATAAACAAAACAGTAATATGAACCATGTAATTGATTAAATGTAACTAGAGTGATTGTACACATATCATAACTAAAGCAATGTTTTTAATACCAATTCTCGAACATAAGGAACGAGCTCTGATCTTCCTTCTTCGGCTAAAGCTTGTTCAAATCCATTAAAAGTATCAAGGAGAGCCTCATAAGTAAGCTTCATGTAGTCAGGAAGTTGGTCCATGCTGCTTTTGTCCCACCTAATAATGTACGTATAAATTTGTTATTTATAAACATACAAATTTTGTTAATCAAATGAAAAACTTATACAAATAAAATGATGCATTATACTTGTGTACAAACCTTTGGACAGCCTCAGTGTACATTTTTAGTTCTTCAAAGAACCCATAAGCATCATACGTATCATCCATAACCGAAGTCATCTTATACAATTTCGTAAATATTTCTCTACCTATTGCATATTGAGGTTCATAGAAAGTTCCCAACATCCAAAAATATACTTCCGCAATTCTATCTCTTGCAAAGGGTAATTTTGTTCCAAAGTTGAGGTCTCTCCACCACCTAATTCGGTGTATATGAAAGAAAACTTATTAGTATATGGTGACTTACAACGAAAAAGAAATTAAATACTGTGTAAAGGTTTCAATTTAGTTGTTTTGTGTCATATCATGTCGAGCTTTATAACAGCATAAAACAGAGTTCCACTCTTTTATCACTATTTGTTATGTACCTAGAGAGGTCTTGAAGTTCTTTCAAGTGTAACGTTTGGAGCAGATTGAAATCTAATTTCGCAAATTTGAGTAGAATTTCATCGTGTAAAGGATCAGCTTCATATGTAGATATATAGTGTCGAGACAATAGCCTAGTGACACCTTTGTGGAGAGGTAACTTGAGGGCTTGAGTAACTTGAGTTGCTAAGGGATCACTTAGTTGATCAACCACTGATTTAAGCTTAGTTGTTGTAAATTCAATCGCCTCGTCGAGGATCTTTTCTCCATGGACCCTAAGATATGAGGCTTCATACAAGTTAAGTATGCTCACTACATCCGTTGTCAAGGAGTCGTTGAAGTTCCCATCCTCGGTCTTAAACTTGTTGAATAGATCTATTTTATCATTAAACATATAATCGTACTTGTAAGTGGTAACTACATACAAAATAATGATACAATATGACAACACATATTCATATTTATGCCATGTTCTCTTCACCTATTTAAAATATGATTTAGTAAACTAAAATCAATAAAATTAAGTTTAATCCGTAAAAATCAGTAACTTTATAGGAAAATATAATAAAGAGTTAATAAATAAGTTTGATCATAAAAAGTAATGTAAGTTTAGTAAAATTTAATTGAAGTAAAAAGAATTTAAATTAAGTAAGATTGATTTGGCATTTAGCAAAAATAAATAAAATAAAATAAAATAAAGGGAAAAGAACAAGTTCTTATTAGTTACAAAGATTATTTTTCTACTTTGAGCATATGTTCAAAAAAATATATCCAATAATATGCTCTCAACTTTTTGGTTCAAGCTATAGTAAAAACAATATTATATGCAATCATTGTTAACTTGTTACAATAATACGGCCATAATACCAAAAAGCCTTACTAAGATCATTGAAAACGTTTACTCCATTTCTTTTTGTTTCTAATGTACTTTGTATAATTATATAACTCGTACTATATTCTTTCTTATATCATCGAACAATACTGTGATTAAAGAGTTTTAATGGAACATAAATTATAATAACAATGGAAATATCAAACAAAATGTATGTAACTGTAATAATTCATGCAAGAGAAGAAAATCATGCATACCAGAAGAAACATAAAATCCATGTTGCCAAGAGACGAAATTTAAGAGAAACATAGTGAAGATCGTCCTCAAAAGAAACATCATTTTGTGAACAAGTCTTGTTAAAATGTTGTAAGTTGGCTTCAATTTCATCTTCAAAGTGATATGCAACCCCAAGTTGCTCCACAACATCAATTAGTACAAGCCTTTCCTTTGGATCTTCTGCGATGCCAAAAAGCTTTCTCCTCACTTCCTCTTTAAGCTCCTTCGCCTCCTCCTCTCTTCGCCGTTGAGTCATCTACATCCAGTTTTAGCCCAAGTACATAATTAGTTAAGCAAGTCGTACAACAGATCGTCTTACACTAGGTGATAATGAAACATCACAAGTAAACCTCACAAAGGTAACAATATAACAATATTTTGAGACGTACATTCTTGAATAAGAATTTTCCAATTCAACTTAAATTATAAATTAGTTGTTTTAATATCCTAAATAGAGTGTAGGTGTTATAAACAACAATAATACTCTATGCAATTATGCATGGTACAAGTAAAAAAAATTACCCTGTATTATTTTATACGTTTATCAGGAAGATACAAAAGACAATAATGTAAAGATATTACGAAGTAAAATTTACCTCGTCTGGGGGAGTGTAGTTGATAAAATGGTCACCCCGAAGCTTTGGATGATAGTGTGCCAGTGGACGTGTTTTCAGTTTTTCATCTTGTTGATGACCATTGCATGAACAATTTGTAGTAATTTGCTCCATTCTTTTCTATTTTATTTTATTTCTTTTGGTATTAAATTCAGTTGTTTTGTGTTAGAAACTTAGCTTCCACCGTTCTTATATACTGTTGGCTTTCTATTATTTTATTGGATAAATACATGTTTTATTATATGTATATATATATACATACTTATTTATGCTAAACGTTAGGTTAAATTATTAATGCGTGTCTGTATAGTAGTAACTACTAACTAGTACATACTTTTTATGATTAATACATTTTACTATTAAATAATTTGATCTTCTTAGATATTTGTTTGGATTTACAAATGATTTTAAAACTTATAATTATGATAATTAGATTATTAAAAAAAATTACTCTACCTTTCCATTTTTTAGACAATTATGCTATGTACATATGTAAAATAATTAGAAAAGATTAGGTATAGATATGAAATTATGAACTTATGAAGTACTCCGTACTTACCAATTCGGTTGTAATTAAACCAATGAGGTCATGGGTTAGTGATCGATTAAGAATGGGAACTTGTGTATGGCTCAAAATATTTTACAGGAATTGGTTTTTTTTTTTTTTTTTTTTTTTTTTTTTTTTTTTTTTTTTTTTAACTGGGACAATTTACTAATTTAGATATTACTGCATAATATTCCACACAAATCTAGATGTTGCACACATTATTTATCTTTATTCTTTAACCTTGTTCTTAATCATTGTGCATATAATAACAATAAAATCGTTAACAAAATCAAAGGAGGTAGTATACTTTACATTAATACGAGAACATATTTCCAAAATAAAAGTATGGTTACATTCTTTGGTTTAATTTTTGAATATATACAGACTGGCGATCCAGCTAGCTAGCTTAAGGGTGAGCTTTGAATAAATTTAATACTATGGTTACACCGTTGCATAACTTACATCCTTTGTTTGACACAATGACACTTCATTACAACCAAGGGTGTCTTTACTCTTTACTGATTACAGAAAAGCTCTTAATAACAGTATAAGGCAGCTTTTTGCCAAATGCACGTGATGATATGGTAAATATTATTCATGTATTACTTTTCTTTCCTTTATAAAGTGCCCCGTAGCAATATTATTCGCATACACCTCTTTGTCTAATGTTTGTGCTTCATCTGAGTACATGTTAGAATTGTCTCAGAAGTCAATACATCAACTTTTTATAATTTATACTTACGCCTGTTTTATTTATATTATCTTATTTTAGCTGAACTAAAATTATTTTTGATAAACTTAAATACTTACTTTATTGAAATGAAATTATTTTTGCTAAATTATAACTATTTTTATTAATTCTATATTATATTTTTCTGTAAAATTATTGATTTTCACTAAAGTGAAATTATATTAACTGAAATGAACATATTTTTACTAGATTGAACTTATTTACTGAACTATAATTAATTTAACAGAACATTTTTTTTAAAGGTGAAGTGAGTATGACTTTATATATAATTAAATATATCAATAGTCAAAATTTTGCATTAACAAGTGTGTCAGTCAAAGTGGGGCACTTAAATAAAATTATGTATAAACAAATATAAATATAGAATATAATAATAAAAGTTAATTAATCAAAATCACAAATTTAAAGTTAATAATACTATATACCTTTGTACCGTAATACTTGGGATGTTTGGGTGGACAAGTAGTTTAAGAAAACTACATATGGATTCATTTAAAATATTTGTTTATACGGAGTAATGTAAAGGATTCTCTTTTGTATTTTTGTATTGTAAGAAAACAAAAGGTAGGGAGGTAGGGGTAGTGAGGAGAGACGGTAGGATTTAATTGTATTAATGTAGGCGTCATTCAAAGCGCGCCTACGTTAAGCATGGTGTGAATATGCTTGACACTTATAGGAAGTGGGCATTGACATTGTACGATTATTATGGAAAAGGAAAGTAAGGAGCCGCCAAAAAATTCCTTAAAAACTTGGTTGAATATTAATCGGGGATGATGGTACGAAGTGATTCATGGAGTCACATTCGCCCGTATGGGCCTCTACTCGATCCTTATTGTAAAAAGTATTTCCTGCAATCTCAAAGGCATACAAACAAAGATTCAATTTGCTCCAAACTAATATTAAGCTAAATTGGTTGAATGTTAATGCAACACATATTTCTAAAACATTGTGATTACTTCGATTAAACAACAAGATTAAAAAGGATTCTAAATCAAAATCGGTCGTCCAAATTATCTTATTAAGCGTTATATTCAATTACATATTCCCTTTAAACATGCAATATAGTGATCATAAAATATAATAAAATCAACATTAATATTGGAAGCAATTCAACCCTAAATTGTTTGTCAAATCAAATCATAATAATAACCCTAATCATGATACTAGCAACAAGAATAATAAAAAGAGTAATTAAGTGAATTAACTACTCACGTTCCGCGTTTCTTTGAATTTTTTTTCACACGTTGGTTTAAATATAGAACTTCGGGTCAAGTATGGACTCCTTGGAGTGCTTAGGGGAAGTATTATGAAAGAATAGGGAGGCTAGTGTTTAGGTTAAGAGAGAGAAGAGAATGATTGTTGGTGCCCCAAAACTAAGGAAATTAGGTTCATATTTATAGAGAATATGTGAGGGGTGAAGCACGGAACCCTAAAAGTGAAAAGGCGCCGCAGAGATTCCCTAGAAAAATGTCGTGTCACGACGTGTGCACCGTGACACGGTGCAGAATACCGTGGCGGCATATCGGTCGTGACACGGTAAACGCGTTTTCCTGAAACCGTCAAGATTCCTTTTATTTTTTGCTTAACAATTAAGTATGTGATATTTTAGGCGTCGTTTCTGCTATTCCGGAATAATTTCAGGCTTAGGGTTTTATTATTTATTAATTGGACTTAATTAATAAATAACACGAAATGAATTAAAAGGGTTTGGGCTTGAATATGAATTGGACTGAGTTTGAATAAATGGATTGACTTAATATGTTTGACTGAATATGATTTTTAACACTTTCGAGATTAAATACTTGAACAGACGGGACCAACAATGACGGTGAAAGGTTGTTCATAATCGTGTTTGGTTTTGGGGAGACATTTTTAGATATCTAAAATTAGGTTTTGGGGTTTGTGGTCCTAAAGAGAGTATAGGAAAATATTTTTTAATTATTGGTCTCATTCCATATTTAGGTACATGTCAAGTATTTTAGAACGGACGAAACAAGAAATTGTGTCAAATATTATAGGACGGAGGGAGTATAAGTTATGTCGCATCAAAATTTAGTTGTTTAACACAATTTTTTTATATGTGGCCTGATTTATAGTGCAAGAGGGGTTACTCGAGTTTCTCGGTTAGGGGTTACTCGAGTTGTCGGGGTTACTTAGGGATGGCAACGGATCGGACTCGGGTAGGACTGTGTAGGGTCCGAATCCGATCCCTTTACTAAACAGACCTAAAGTTGGAATCCGATTCCGCTTATATAAAACCCGAATCTGAATCCGATGGACTCGACCTCCTCCGACTCCGAATCCATGTCCGTTTTTAAAACATTATTTTCTTCCTTTTCTTAAATCAGAATTACAAATTTCTTCCGTTTCTTAGATCAGAATTAGAAAAACTACAAATAGAGGGGTTGCAAAAGTTTAGAATTTAATTTTTACACATAGAAATAATAATGATTATCACTTGAACAATTACAAAAAAATTAAATAATTTCATATCTACACAAAAATAAATACTCGTACTCCAAGAACTTTTAGTTCTACCCAAATTACTTAGGGAAACAGAGAACTTCCAAGGTTTTTCTTGGCTTCGGCCTTCAGATCTTCAAGTGAAACAAGTGGTGTTTAATCAAACAACCATACAAAAAACAAAAATTACTTCATAATAGATGATGAGAGACTCTTCACGAGTTCTTATTATTTTGGTTTAGATTTCCATTATTGATTGATAATTGGAGTAGTTGACAAAAAACTCTCAAACAAATGGAGTAGTTCTAAGAAAATTGAGGAGAGAGAAAGGGGAGGAGTTAGGAGAGAGGAAGGAGAGGAGTTAGGAGAAAGGAAAGGAAAAATTGAGGCTTTGAGGTTGAATGGTTGAGGAAAAATGGCGGAAGAGTACAAAAAGTAGGGTAAAATAAATTTATACTCCATGTAAAACTCGCGGATCGGACTCGGTCGGATGCTATGTAAGGTCCGAGTCCGATCCGAATCCTATTCGGATCGGAGTTTTTTTTATCGGATTCGAACTCGAATTTTATTATTTCGGACTTGGATCGGACTTTTTTCCTCGGATTGAAATCGAATTAAATTGCCATCCCTAGGGTTACTTAAGCTTCTTGGTCAAGGTTTACTCGAGTTTTTCGATCAGTGGTTACTCGAGTTGCCGGGACTACTCAAGTTTCTCGGACAAAGGGTTACTCGAGTTTCTCGGACAGGGGTTACTAGAGTTGTCGAGGTTACTCAAGTTACTTTATCAGGGGTTACTTGAGTTGTCGGGATTACTCAAGTTACTCAGACAGTTAGCCCCTAATTGAACCCTAAAGTAACCTCAAACTAAGCTCCTTAAATAA